GTTTTGTGAACTATTCAGACTGTCGGTCTTGAAATATAACAATTGGTGGTGGTAAATTATGCGTGTGCATTTCGTTCAATTGCGGCGGTTGCTTTAGGAAAGCTCCCTATTTGTTATAGGAAATTTATACGAATAATTATCGCACCAAAGCGTCTGTCTGATTTGGAAACATTCCGACCAGACGAGCAAACGTTTTACGAGTGACATATGAACCAAAGCGACTGACGGTATAGGGAATATTCCCAGGGTACGGGGACTTTTACCGAGTGCCTCTAGCACCATTGCAGACGTCGGTTGAGGAATCATTTCAACGAGTCTAGGGAAAGTTATGGGTCTATCATGTGAACCAATGCGACTGTCTGGGTAGGAAATATAACAACGAGTCAAGGGAAACTAATGCGACTGCCATTCGAACCAAAGTTACGGACGAACTTAGATTCCACCCGACTAGTAAAGGGAACGCTATTAGAGCGACTTGTGTGCCATAGCCACTGTCGGAATTGGAACTATCCTGATTAGTCAAGGGAAGATTATACGAGTGTTTTGTGAACCCATTCGACTGTCAGTCTGTGAAATATTAAGGCTAGTCAAGGGGAAGTTATGCGAGTACTTTTCGAACCAATGTGGATGTCGCATTTGGAAACATTCCGACAATTCGAGAGAAAATCTTCCGAGTATCTTGTGAACCAATGCGACTTCGAAATATCCCGACATGTCGATGACAAGTTATGCGAGTGTCTCGTAAACCAATCCGACTGGTCGGGCTTGGAAATATTCCGGCTAGACGAGGGAAAGTTATGCGAGTTATTCTCGAACCAAAGCGGCTATCTGATTTGGAAATTCCGACCAGTCGATGGAAAGTTATGAGAATGTCTTGTAAACCATTCCGACTGTAGGATCTGGATGTATTTAGACTAGGCGAGGGAAAATTATGCAGATGCCTCCCGATTCAATTCAGATATAGGATTTGGAAATATTCCGTCTAATCGGGGAGAGTCATGCTAGTGCCCCTCGAACTACCGAACTTGGAAATATTCCGTCTAGTCGAGGAAATTTTATTCGAGTGACTTGTATACCAATGCGAATGACGGGTATGGAGATACAACGACTAGTCTAGTAAATGTTAAGCGAGTTACTTTCGAACCAATGCGGTTCCCGGTCTTGGAAACATTCCAACTAGGCGAGAAAAAGTATTGCTAGTTTCTCTCGAATAAGTGCGACTGTAGGAATTTGAAATTTCCAGCGTTTTTGATCGTTGTTAAGAGAGTAACTTGTGAACCAATGCATCTGTCTAAATTGAAAATAACCCGAACAGTCGGGGTAATGTTATTCGCGTTCCACTCTGAAAATAGAGATTATCGGTCTTAGTATTATTCCACATATACGAGGGAAATTTATGCGATTGCCTCCCATACCAATGCAGCTGTTCGACATGTAACTTTTCAGACTTATTAAGGGAAGTTATGCGTGTCATTTCTGAATCATAGTGACTGTCGGAATTGAAAATACTCCGATTTGATGAGGGAAAGTTGTGTGAGTGGCGTTCGACACATAAAGATTTCCGGACTAGGAAATAATACAACAAGTCGAGGAAAAGTTATACGAGAGGCACTCCTCCAAGGCGACTGCCGGAATTGGAAATATTCCATTTAGTAGAGAGGAAGTTATGCGAAAGTTATATCGAAACAATGCAACTGTCGCACTTGGATATATTCCGACATGTTAGGCTAAGTTATGCTAATGACTCTGGAACAAATGCTACTGACGGAATTGGAATTATTCGGAGTAGTCGAGAGAATTTTATGTGAGTCCCTCTCGAGGAAAAGCGTCTACCGGACTTGAAAATATCCCAAATCGAGGAAAAGTTATAGCAGTGCCTCTCGTACCAATGGTTCTGCCGGACTTGGTAATATTACGACTAGTTGTGGGAAAGTTTTGAGAGTTCTTTACGATCCAATTCAGCTGCCAGACCTGGAGATATCACGACTAGTGGTGGGAATATTATTCGAGTGCGTGTCGAAATATTGCGCCGGTTGGGTATTTGAACTTCCGGACTAGTCGAGGGAAAGTTGCGAGTATCTTGTGGACTAATGCAAACGTCTTACTTGAAAATATCCCGAAATGTAGAGTCAAAATTATGCCACTGCCTCTCGAATCAAAAAGACTATCTGTCTTCGAATTAATCCCTCTATTCGAGGAAGAATTATGACAGTCATATTCGAACCAATATAAGGGTCGGAACAGGAAGTATTCTTATTAACTGAGGGAAAGACATGCTAGTACCTCTCTAACCTATGCGGCTGTCAGACTATGAAATTATTCCGACCAGTTAAGGGATATTTATTCGAAAGGCTCTGGAAAAAAGCGGCTGCCAGGCTTGGAAGTATTCCCGCAAGTCGAGGGGTAGTTATGCGAGTTCTTCTCCAACCAATGCTGCTGTCGGACTTGAATATATTCCAGAGATGGGAAAAATATGCGAATGGCATGTAATTCAATGCTAAGGTCGTTCTTGGTAATATTACAAGTCGAGGGAAAGATATGCAAGTACATCTCGAACCAATAAGGCTGTCTGACAAGGAAATATTACGACTTGTAGATAGTAATATAGACGAACACCTCTCGGACAAATACTCCTGTAGGACATGGGATATGCCGACTATTCGGAGAAAGTTGTGCAAGTTCTTCTCGAACCAATGCAGCAATCGAACTTGGATATCTTACAGACAGGCGATGGAAAGATATGCCAGCGACATATAAACCAATGCGCCCGTAGTTCTTGAAATTGTTACGAATAATTGAAGGAAAGACATTCAAGTGCTTCTCGTACTAATACGGCTGTAGGATTTGGAAATAATCAGACGAACCGTAGAAATTTATGCGAGATCCTCTCGAACAAATACCGCTGTCGGACTTGGTAATATTCCGACCAATCGGGGAAAGATATGTGGGTGCATCTCGAACAATTATGGCTGTCGGCTTTAGTACTATTCCGACGAGTTGAGGTAAGTTATGCGGGTAATTCTCGAGCGATTACGACGGTCGGACTTGGAAATATACCGATAAGTCGAGGAAATGTTATGCGAACAAATGCTGAAGACGGATTTGGATATCAGTATTAGTCGATGGAAAGTTATGCCTGTTCCTTTAGAAACATTACGACCCGCTTACTTGGTACCATTCCGACTAGAAAGGGAAAGTTATGCGAGTGAATCTAGATTTAATGCAACTGTCGGTCTTGGAAAAATCCCGAATAATTGATGGAAGGCTATGCGGGAAACTTGTGCACCAATGCAACAGTCAGGCTCGGAAATAATTAGACTAATCATAGAATTGTTACGCGAGTATCTCTCAAACTAGAACGACTGTCGGGCTAGGAAATATTCCTAACGGCCTAGGGAAAGTTATATGGGTGCCCCTCAAACCAGTGCGGCTGTTGTACTTTCAAATATACCTTTCGAACGTAAGCAACTATCGGACTTTGAAATATTACTACTAGTCGAGGGAAATGTATGCGTGTAATTATAGAACTAATGCATCGGTCGGACTAGGAAATAGTCCGAAAAGTCGAGGAATAGTAATGCTAATGACTATAGAGCCAATGTGGCGATGTCTTGAAAATATCACGAATTGTCGTGGGAATGTTATACGAGTGTTTTGCAAACTAATGCGACTGTCGGGCTTGGATATATTCTGACTAGCCGTGGGAAAGTTATGCTAGAAGTTCTCGAACCAATTCGGCTGTTCGACTCGCATATATATCGACTAAACGAAGAAAGATATGCGGCAAACTGGTAAACCAATGCGACTGGCGACAATGCAATTCCGATTATTCCGACTACACTGCGATAGTTATGTAGGTTACTCTCGAAAAAATGCGGCTGATGGTATTGTAAATATTCTGTCTAATCAAGGAAAATTTATGCCAGTGCCACACGAACAAAGGCGGCTGTGGAATTAGGAAATGGTCGGGGTTCTTAATGCGAATACCATTCTTATCAAAGCGAATATTGGAAGTGGAAACATTCGGCTTATCCAGGAAACTTTAATCGAGTAACTTGTAATGCAAAGCGAATGTCAATATTCGGTATATGCCCAGTAGTCGATGGAATTTTATGCTAGAACCAATGCGGATATTGGACTTGGAAGAATTCCGAACAGTCGAGGAAGAGTTACGCGAGTACCTCTGGAACGGATACGACTATCGGCCTTGGAAATATTCTGACTAGTCGAAGGGAATGTTATGCGAGATTGTCACGATCAAATTCGGCTTATGGACGTGAATTTATTCTGAAAAGTCGATGGAAAGTTATGCGAATACCTCTCAAAACATTACGACTGTCAAACTTGGAACAATTACTACTAGACAAGGAAAAGTTTGGCAAGTGACTCTCGAACCAATGCGGATATCAGAATTGGAAATATCCCGATTAATTTAGGAAATATTATGCAAGAGTCTTGTAAACAATGAGAATGTCTGGTTGGGAAATATTCCGACTAGTCGGAAGAGAGATATGCCGGTGCCTCAAGAACAAATGTGGCTGTTGGACTTGGATATCCACCGACTAGTGGAGGATAAGTTATGCGAGTGCTTCTCGAAGCAATGCAGCTGTCGGTCTTGAAGACATTCGGACTAGTCGATGAGAAGATATGCGATTGCCTCAATATCCACAGCGTCTGTTGGACGTGGAAATAATCCTCCATGTCGGTAAAAGCTATGCGAGAGCATCACGGTCAAATAAAGCTATCGGTATTGGAAATATTCTGACGATTCAAGGAATAATATACGCGTGCCTCTCGAACAAATTCGGATGTCGGCCTTGGAATTATTCCGACTTGACTTGGGGAAGTTATGCGAGTGATTCTAGAATTAATCCGACGGTCGGACTTGGAAATATTTCTACCTGTTTGGGAAAATTATGTGAGTGTCTTTCGAACAAATGCAGTTATTGAATTGGAAATATTACGTCCAGCCGAGAGAATGTTACGCGTGTTATTTTGGAATGAATGCGAAGGTCGGACTTGGAAATATCCCTTTTAGTCGATGGATATTCCAAAGGACTTGCGCGATAGCGGTACCAAAGAAGTGCACGAAACAGCAGAGGCGTCCTGCAGACTGGTGGACGAATAAGATCGCAGATCTTCGCAGGAAGTACTAAATGCTTCGCCGGTTAGCACAACGAGCGAAGAGACGCAACCTCGAGGCTGCTCTCTTTGCCGCATAGTTTCTTGCGGCCAAAAAAGCTTTGAAGAGGACCTACAAGGCCAGTCAACGCCGGTGCTGGAAGGAGCTGTGCCTCGATGTCGACCAGAATCCGTGTGGAATAGGGTACCAGATCACCACTCGCAAGATGTGGACTCACCCCCCAGGAATCCCTCAGGACGAGAGGACTTTGGATAACATCATTTATGCCCTATTCTACTCGCAGCCGAGGAGAGAGATTGGCACGGCTGCGCCTTGCAGCCCCGAAACTGAGCTCGCGATGCAAGTGGTCGCGGGTGTAAACCCGATCGATCTATTAACCCAGAAGAGACATTTCGTCCACCACAAAAGGCCCGTCCTGGGAAAGGAGGTGGCAACAATGTTCGCCTGGTCTACCGGCATTGAGACCTGGCAAAGCAGATGGGAACAGGAGCCTCGGGGCAGATGGACGGCCCGACTCATCACTCGGTTAACCAGTTGGCTAAACCGGGAGGCGGGAGGAGTCGACTTCTACCTTACCCAATTTTTGACAGGGCATGGTCTATTCTGCTCCATCCTCGCAAAAATGAGGAAAGTTGCAGATGATAACTGCCCATATAGCGACTCTACCGTCGACGACGCCCACCTCACATTCTTCTAATGTGCTCGGTGGAGCGTCGAACGACTTGCCTTGGAGCAAGTTTTCGGATAAATCTCGCCAGACAACTTTGTCAAGAAAATGCTCCGAGGTCAGGAGAAGTGGAACAAGTTGGCCTAGTACGTCAGGGCCATTTTGCACAGAAAAAGAAGGAGATGGGCGGTCCATCGAGCTGCCCCCAATGTTTCTCGTGGCTTCTGCCCCGTAGAGCCGACAGGAGAGTCCCGTAAATGGCTCTGATGCAGTGACGCAATCCTGAAGTAACACCACATGGTGATGCAGGGATGGTTTCACTATGCCTCTAGGATGGATATGAATTTATTCGGAAGTGCCTATTTCAACGGTGAGGGCGACACTCCAGGGACATTAATGGGGGAACATATAGAGAAGCGTTCCTATGGCAGGCGCGGTCACTGGGTTAGTGCCTAAATATTGGCAGTCTCAGACCATCAAAATAAAGAAAAAAAATTACTTTCGGTGTTATCGCTACTTTCCTGATATAGTTGTTATTATCGTTATTAAAGGTATTACAGTTATTATCGTTATTATCATTATTATCGTTTTTATTTTTATCTTTATTACTATTATTATTATTACTATCGTCATTATAATCGTTATTAACGTTAATATTGTTATTATTATAATTAACGTTATTATTTTTATAATCATTAATACTATCGTTAATAAAGTTATTATCGTTATTATCCTTATTGTTGGTATTATTTTTATAATCGTTACTTTTATTGTCACTAACGTTATAATCGTAATATTATTATTATTGTTATTATTATCTTATTAACCTTATTATCCTCCTTATCGTAATTATTGATATTATCGTTTCTTTTATAGTTATAATAGGCATTATTGTTATCATTGTCGTTATTAACTATATTACCATTATTATCTTTGTTTTCGTTGTTATTATTATCATTATTGTTATTATTACCTATTATATCGTCTTTATCTTTATTATCATTACTATGAATGTTATCGTATAATAGTATTTATACGATATAATATATAATAATATTTATAGTTATTATTAATGGAGTTATCGTTACTATCATTATTATCGTTATTATTATTAGTATTATTGTTATTATCGTCATATTCACTATATTCGAAATTATTATTATTGTTATTATTTTCGTTATTATAGTCGTTATTGACGTTATTACAGTTGTTGACATTATTGTCGTTATTATCGTTATGTCTTTATTATCGTTATTTTCGTTAAAACCTTTATTATCGTTATTTTTATCATTTCTGTTTTAATTCTTATTCTTATTCTTACTATTAATATCGTTATTATTTTTGCTGTGTCCTTACTTTTATTATTATAATTATAATTATGATTAATTTCGTTATTAACGTCATTATCGTTATTAACGCTATTATCTTAATTAACCCTATTATCGTTATTATCGCTATTATTCCTATTATCGTTATTATAATTGTTATTATCGTTATCAATATTATTATTATTATTATTACTATTATTATCGTTAAATCCATTAGAATTATTATTATAATTATTATTATTATATTTATTTTACTTTATTATTATTTATGTTATCATTATTATTGTCGTTGTTGTCGCTACTATTATTATTATCTTTATCACTATTGTTATTAATGTTAATATTTGTATAAGCCTTAATAACTTTATTTTTAATGTTAAAGTTAATATTATTATTATTAATTGTGTTATCGTTATTATAATCATTTTTATCCTTATTATATTCATTATCGTTATTTTTAATGTTATTCTTATCATTATTAATATTTCTATTATTATTATCGTTATTATTTTTATTGCAGTTACCGATATTACCGTCATTATTTTTCTTATAGTTATTATTTTTGCTATTCACGTTCTTACCGTTGTTATCCTTGATATCGTTATTATTGTTATTATTATTATTATCGTTATTATTATCATTGTTATCGTTATTATTGTTATTACCGCTATTATCGTTATTTTCTTTATTATCGTTATTTTTATTATTACCGATATTATTTTTATTATTACTATAAAAATAATAATAATAATAATAATAATATTATTATTATTATTATATAATATACTATTATTACTATTATTACTACCAGTGTTGTCATTAAGTTCGAGGTCTGCGTTACTGTTAATACTATCCTTATTATTATCATTATTATCGTAATTAATATTGTAATTCATATTATTACTATTATCGTTATTATTTTCGCTGTTACCGTTAATATTTCCATTGTCGGAAACGTTATTAACGTTATTATCGTTTATTTCGTTATTATAGTTATTAATGTTATTATTATTATTATTGTTATTATTATTATTATTGTTATTATTATTACTGGCGATATTATTATCGTCGTTACTGTTATAAACGTTATTAACGTTATTATCGTTATTAATGTTTTTATCGTTCATATTATTATTATCGTTATTATCGTTATTATGGATAATATTATCGTCATTATCGTTATTACCGTTACTATCATTGTTACCGTTATTATCAATATTATATTTTTATTGTTATTAATATTATCGTTATTTGCATTATTATTGATATTATTATTGTTATTATCGACAATATCGTTATTACCATTACTATCGTTATAATCACTATTGACGTTATTATCGTCATTATTATCGTTTTTAACGTTATTATCGATATGAACGATATTGTCGTTCTTATCGTTATTTAAGTTATTATTGAAGTTAATATTTTTATTAATATTGTTTTTATTGTTATTAGCGTTATTATTATCGTCATTATCGGTATTTCTATTATGATCGTTATTATCGTTATTAACGTTATTATAGTTATAATCGCTATTATCGTTATTAACGTTATTATCATTATTAACGCTATTATCATTTTGTCGTTATTTTTATTATTACCCTTATTATCATTATTATTAATATTGGTATTATCATTGTTATCGTTATTATTATCGATGTTATCGTTATTACCGTTATTATCACTTATATTATTATTGTAGTTATTATTATCATTATTATCCTTATTAACGTTATATCGTTATTATTATTATTATCTTTTGGAACGTTATTATCGTAATTATAGTCATTATCGTTTCATTCTTAATTATTATTGTTATCGCTTATGAATATTAATATCTATATTATTACCTATAATAACGTTATTATCGTTACTATTGTTATTACCGTTATTATTGTTATTGTAGTTATTATTGTTGTATAGATAGCTATTTTCGTTATTATTATCATTATCGATATTATTACCGTTGTTACCGTTATTGATGTTATTATCGTAATTATTATTATTATCGTTATTAGTATGCTTATAATCGTTATTCCCTGTATTATTATTATTATCGTTACTATTATAGTTTTTATTAGTAATATTATGGTTATTATCGTTATTATCTTTATCATTATCGTTATTTACAATATTATTTTTCAATCGTTATTATTGTTAATTTCTCTAATATCGTTATTGTCCTTACCATTTTCATTAGAGTTATTATTATTATCATCATTATTACGATTAATATTATTATTACTATTAATATCATTAGTATTGATAGTAGTATTATTAACATTTTTATTACCGTTATTAACGTTATTATCGCTATTATTATTATTATCGTTATTATTGTTTTTATCTTTATTATCCTTATTACCCATTTTTTCGTTATTATCGTTATTATACTTATTATAGTCATTTTCCGTTAATATTTTTTTATTATTCTTATTATTATTATGTCCGTTATTATTAAATTTATTATTATTATTATTGATCTTTATATTATCTTCGTGTTTATTTTCGTAATTAGCGTTACTACTATTATTACCGTTATTATTGTTGTTGTCGTAAATATTTCTATTGTCGTTATTTTTTTTATCATCGATATAATTATAGCTATTATTATTATTATTGCTATTATTTTTATCGTAATTGTTATTTCTATTATCGTTAGTTTCTTATTTTCATTATTATAGTTATTATTATAGCTATTAACGTTATTACCTTTATTATCGTTATTATATACGTTAATATTATTAATATCATTATCATTATTATTATCGTTATTTTTATTATTAGCATTATTATATAGTATTGACACTATTATTTGGTTTATTATAATTTTTATCGCCATTATTGTCGCTGCTATCGCTACTTATATTATTAGCGCTATTATTTTCGTTGTTAACCTTACTATGGTTTTGTTATTATTTTCCTTATTTTCGTTAATATCTCTATTATCTTTATTACCTTTATTATCTCTATTTTTTTATTCTCGTTTTTATCATTATTATTAATATTATTATTATTATTATAAGTGTTATTATCGTAATTATTATCGTTATTAGCATATCTTTAATAATCATTTCATTAATTATCTTTATTATCTTTATTACCGTTATTATCATTATTATTGTCATAATCTGTATTTTCCTTATTATAGTTATATGTATTATCATCGAAAGTATTACCGTTATTGTTATCATTGTCGTTATTATTATCGATATTATCGTAATTATCGTTGTTATCCTTATTATTTTTATTATCGTCATTACCGTCAATATCATTAATATTACCGTTATTATTGTTATATCGACCTACTATTACGATCGTTACTTTTATCGTTATTATCTTTATTTTAGGTATTATTATTATTATCATCATTTCCGTTATTATTGTCAATATTGTTGTTACCATTAAAATCGTCATTATTATGTTTAATAACGTTATTATCGATATTCTCGTTATTATCGTAATTATTGTCATTATTCCCGCTATCATTATAATTTACGTTACTATCGTTATTATTATCGTTATTATCCTTAATAACTTTATCATTATCGTTATTATTGTTATATCGTTCTATTATTATTATCGTTAATATTATCGTTATTATCGTTATTACCGTTATTATGGTCATTTTCTTTATTATTGTTATTATAGTTATTATTTTATTAATATCGTTATTATAGTCATTAACGTTATTATAATTAC